AATAAAAAAGATAAATATATATATAATGGAATTATTTATTTTGCAATTAGACCTGGCTATTCAACCACTGACAAGCTATTCTACATACATTCAGAATTACATAATGCAGTCTTTATTATCTGAAATCTCAAAAAGTACAATTAATAATTTTTATTCCTTCAGTGGTTAATTTAATTGTTCCCAAATTAAAATTTAAACTGGTGGATAAATATATGTAGTTAGATGTAATTATGCACTTCTCAGAATAACTAAGTAGTAATGTTGAATAACTAAAAACACACCTTGCCGGTTTAATATAGACAGCCCCACTTTGTTTTCAATTTGTCCCACATAATCTGATGACAGCCAAAGAAAAATGATGAAATCATGTTTCACAATTGAGGGATCATTATTCATCCACAGTCCCAACCTTCTTAAGTGCATTGGATCCAGAGACAGTTCTATTTTCTTATTATGGGCCACTGGAAGAAAGAAATTTACACAGAAGACATACAAAATAAATAAACAAAACATGACATTACTATTTTTCAATGGAATAATCATTGACTGTCACATAACACTCAGATTAGTTAGCTGGGAGAGTTTAGGATGAGGCAAAAATAACCCTTAATTGTTTCTGAAGCACTCAACTGTTAAGAGACAATGGCCGCCCTATCTGTTTTTTATACATTTGTGGAAAAGTACAGATACAGATTTATTGCTTAAAGGCAGATTGCAAAATGGGATGTTCCGGAGGAGAGGAGGAGGAAGCCTTGAATTTGTCAGATCCAAAGCTCCTCTGCTCTTTAGAGGCTGAGGATCAGTTCACTGCCTGCACAATTTTAGAATTGTTCGGTAAGCATTGCAAGGAACCATTTAATCAAAACTGGCCTGGTTATAAAATAACATTAAACTTGAAAGATATGATTTCAAGTTGTCAACATTTTATGCATCAGTTAACCTATGATGAAATAGCAGATTAATCTGACAACCACTATTTTATACAGGAATTTTCTGTTTAGCCCAATACTGACTATTTTGTCTGGCAGTAGCTGCCAAAGACTTAGGCAGGGTCATTTACTATCTGATCCTGGTGTAAAAGGAGATGTAAAACCTAGAATCTGGGCTCTTTGAAAAGTAAAGCATATTTATTATTATTTATTAAATTTGTATACCATCCCATTAGTGCAGATGCACTACTCGGGGTGGTTTACAATCAACTAAAATGATACAAATCAATAAAAAACAAAACACAAAATAACGATCAATACAATCAACACTTCATCTATCCAGTTCTGGACACCATACTTCAAGACAGATGCTGACAAATTGGAATATGTTCAGAGGAGGGCAATAAGGATGATCAGGGGCTAAATACTAAGTGCTATGAGGAAAAACTGAAAGAACTGGACATGTTTAGCCTTCAGAAAATAAGACAGAGCGGTGATATGACAACGCTTTTCAAATACTTGAAAGGCTGTCATACAGAGGACGATCAAGATCTGTTCTTGATGAGTGCAGGACACACAACAATTGACTCAAGATACAGGAAGCCAGATTTTGAGTGAATATGAGGAAACAGTTCCTAACTGTTAGAGCAGTAAGACAGTGGAACCAATTACCTCAAGAGGTGGTGAGTGCTCCAACACTGGAGGCATTCAAGAGAAACTTAGACCTTTGATTGACAGATATCCTTTGATCTGTATTCCTGCATCGAGTAGGGAGTTGGCCTTATAGGCCCCTTCCAACTTCACTAATCTATGATTCTATGAAGTGATGGAAATATCACATAAAATACAGCATGGGGCATGTAAACACACAGAGCAGTAATGGATCTTGCAGGGTTGCCAAAAAAGGTCTGCAGTGTTTTCAAAGATCTTTTAGCGCAGAGATCCCCAACCCCCGGTCCCTGGCCTGGTGCCAGTCCATGGTGTGAGTCGGACTGGGCGCCGAGACAGACCTCCCTCGCTGCACACACTGACCCCTGCACAGCCTGTTTGCGGCTGCATGTGCACTCCAGCACGACCGTGCAAGTGCCGCACCGCTGTTTGGAAATGCACACGAGCGTGCCTGCCCAGACAAGTGCTGCACCACCATTTGTGCATGCACCCGAGTGCACCCATGTTTGAGTGCGTGTGCACTTGTTAGTGCATGCGTGTGAGCGCAGGGGGTGCCCCGCCTTCCCCAGCTGGTCCGCAGACCAAAAAAGGTTGGGGACAGATGGGAGGGAGGGGGGCAGGTGTAGTTCTGCCAGCAGTTGATTCCATAGCGCTGGAGCCACTACAAAGAAGGCCCTATTTCTAGTAGAGGATTTCTTGGTCTCCCTTGGAGTGGCGACCCAGAGGATCATGGCTTAGAAGAACCTAGCTGGCCAGGTAGATGACCTTAGGAAAAGAAACTCCAACAGGTGACATGGTTCTAAACTGTGGTCATCAAAACCTTGAGTCTGATCTGGGATGCAACAGGTAACCTGTGCAGATATGCTAAGACTGGGGAGATGTGGTCAAACCTGCACATACAAGCCACCAGTCTGGTTGCCACATTATGGACCCGCTGCAATCTCTGAGTCAGACACAAGGAAAGTCCCATGTAGAGAGAATTGCATTAGTCAATGCAGGAAATGACCAATACATGTACAGTGGTGCCCCGCTTGACAATGACCCCGCTTGACGACGAAATCGCTGTACGATGACTTTTTGCGATCGCTATAGCGATCACAAAACGATTTTTCTATGAGGTTTTTTCGCTTGATGTCGATTCGGTCCCTGCTTCGGGAACCTTTTTTTCGCTTGACGACGATTTCCCTGTCTTTGTCAAATGGCTTCCCTTCGCAAAATGGATGCCTTCCCTTCACAAAATGGGTGTTTTCTAGACGGAAGCTTCACATTACAGCGAATTAGAACAGCTGATCGACGGTTCTCTATGGGCGATCTTTGCAAAACGAGCAGGTATTTCCCCATTGGAACGCATTAACCAGTTTTCAATGCATTCCAATGGGTTTTTTACTTTCACTTGACAACGATTTCGCTGGCACGCATTATCGTCGTCAAGCGGGGCACCACTGTACCAATGACTTAAGGGATTCCACTGTCTACCATTGTCTTTGCAGTAACAGTATTTAGACTAGTTTCCCTTCCTCCTCTCAATATTTAAATACAGTACTATAGACTGGGGTTGCTGGCTGCATAGCTCAGTGAGTTAGGAGCCAGAGGTTGGGAGCTCAATTCCCCGCTGTACCTCCTGGGAGAAGAGCCCAGTCCGAGTAGTCAAACTGCCTCAAGTAAAAGGGAAACCATTTCTGAGTACTCTCTGCCTAGAAAAACCTGAGAAGGATTGCTGGAAGGCAGAATTAACTTGACGGCACATGATTATTATTATTACAGATAGGAGTTAAGAAACCTTTGGCATTCCAAATGATTTAGACTATCACACCCACATATTTCACATCAGTGACCATACTGAGCAGGGCTAATGGGAATCTGATTCCAAAATTTCTGAAGAGCCAGGGGTTCCACATATCTAACAGATATTTTTGGAAATGTGATAGGCTATTCTGTTCTTCGCCATCTACAATACTTTCAACACAACGCTTTCACATTTTATATAAATTGCTTATACAAAAATCATACAGATGTTGTTGTGAAAGTTTATTTGAGACACCGTTCTGTGAAATGCTGCCAATCACTTTCCTCAAGAAATGTGATAAATACAATATCTTACCTTCGAAAGGGATCTTAATGCATCTGGTTGTAAACTTAAAAAAAAAAATAAGAAAAGAAAATCAGTCCTTCTAGGCTGCATTAACAAAAGTATAGTCCCAAATCCCATGAAGTACAAGTTCCCCTCTATTTGGCACTGGTTAGGCCAGTGAGAACTTTATCCAGCTCTGGTTACCACACTTGGAGAAGGATCCAGACAACCTGGAACCAATTCAGAGGAGCGCAAGTTAAGAGGATGATGAAGGAACCGAAACCAAACCCTATGAGGAAAGAATGAAAGAACTGGGCTTGTTTAGCTTTGAGAAAAGGAGACTAAGGGGAGATACAACAGCACTTTTCAAATACTCAAAAGATTGTAATATGGGGTGGGTGGGGTAGGGCAGGATCATCCCAGAGTGCATGACATGGAATAATGGGCTCAATTGCAGCAAGCCAGATTTAGGCTGAGTATCAGGAAAAACATAGTGTTAGAGCAGTATGACAACGGAGCCTATTACCTCGGGGATGGTGAGTGCGCCAACATTGGAGGTATTCATGAAAAATTAGACAAACATCTGTTCAATCTACTTTGATTTAGATTCCTGCATTGAGCAGGGGATTGGACTTGATGGCCTTATAAGTCCCTTCCAACTCCATTATCTTATGATTCCATGGCACTGGCCTCCAAACAAAGGCCAAGATCCCAAGGATTGCTTAGGCTCACATAAGAAGTTTATATTGCCAGCCAAGTGGGATGTTTGCCTTTTGATCTTAATGTCATACTGATTGATTCCTTCTGTTCAGTTTTAAAGGCAGGGCAGAATCCAGTAGTGAACATCTTTTCACCAAGCAGTAACTGGGGGAGAAACAATATTCCCTTCTACTGTAGCCTTCAAGTGTCCCTAAATGTCTCTAAAACCAGCTCTGAAGGGCTGGAAAATTCATTGGAGCTGGCTTGGGGGCTGTGTAGAAGGGTGTACAAGAGAGATGAAGGAAGTTCCAGATGATCTACTTGAGGAACTCTGGATTTAAAATGTTCCCATTAAAGACAGACAGGTCCAAAGCCCCTGTGGGAATAAGTTTCAGAGTTCTTAGCATCTTAGCATCAAATACAGTGGTGCCTCGCAAGACTGGCTCGCAAGATGATTAATCCGCAAGATGATTGGTTTTTGCAATCGCTGTGGTGCTTCGCAAGATGATGTTTTCTATGGACAATTTCCGCAAGACGAATGCATTCCAATGGGGAACCGCGTTTTGCAAGATGATTTTTTCTATGGACGATTTTCGCAAGACAATTTTTTCCCATTGGAACGCATTAATTAGATTTAAATGCATTCCAATGGGGAACCGCATTTCGCAAGACAATGGTTTCACAAGACAACGTTTTTCGCGGAACAAATTAACATCGTCTTGCGAGGCACCACTGTAGTAACGATCAACTTACTCTGAAACAATCTGTTGCTGGTCCTTTGTATTTCCCAACAAAAAGCATTTCAAACTTGATATCTAAGGCAAGGTCCAACTGTTCCCTGAGGTTGCTGTCATCTGCAGTAGACTTGAGTGCAAGCAGTTCCTCTGAAACCTGTGAAATATAAACATATATATGGGTTAAACTCTGTTCATGCTACTAAATTCAAACAACTATGAGAAACCAATTAGTGTGAATCACAGAGATCACAAAGAAGTATATTTATCCAACTGGTACCTATAAGGCCAAATGGAGAAATATGCTAGCAAAAAAAAACCCCTATATTATTTTATGTACAGCTCTAAATACTTAAAAGTCAATATAATTGCATGGCAGATTGAATGGAAGTGGTATACAGATCAAAGATTTATTACCTGTTCTGTTTTGCTTTCAGTTACGCTTTGGGACAGAACTTCTGGAACAAGTAGTTCAGATTCTTGTTTCTTTTCTTTTTTCTTATGTCCGTAGCCTTTCCCAGTCTGGAAATATTTCTCTGGATCTTTTGCTTCAACGTTTCCTTCATCTTCATCACTAGAAAGCACAACTGAAGCAAAGCATAGGAAAGACAGAAGTGATGAAAAGACTGAACAATGTACTGAATAACTGATAAAAATCAAGTGGATAAATACTACTTATATAAATTGTGTCTTGTCTATCCATCCCAGTTTTCTTTTTAATAAAGGAAAGGAATTTTACATTTACATACTTGGTTCAACTGGATCAGCTGCCTCCTTACTTCTTTCAGGCTTATTCAGTGGCTCTTCTGGAGGCAGAGTTATGTCAATTTTCTGCTTCTTAGCAACAGGGACCAGTGGTAGCATCTCTTTCTCCTTGCTAGTGACAGAATGCACCTCTCTCCTGGAAGAAGATTTTGAGCTGTTCTCATGCGGACAACTGGCAACAGTGTCATTATCTGCAGGAATGAATCTTTCACCAGAAACTGGTTCCAAAAGCTGGGGATTATTTTCCTGCTGAAGGTTGTTCTTATGATTCTTATTTGGGCTTCTGCAGACAGGTGACGGAATTCGTTCTCTCATTTGTTCTTTCTAGAAAAATATAAAACAAAACCGAATTTTCAAAAAGCCTAATGGCTTTATCACTGATGGTTTCCTCACACACTGAGATTTATTTAAAAGCTTTAAATAAGAACCACAGCCCCTAGCGAGCTTTGTCAACTACCCTGGAAACCTCTCAGTTCTGGTGCATCTTGAATGACGCACTGAGGCGTGTCAGAGCCTAGAGCAGTGGTTGCCAAACTGGTGAATGGAAAGAAAGACCAGAGAGGGCATGACACTGAATTTTTTTTACCTCAACTGATGTTGAGAAGCTCACGCCAAATTTTATCATCTTCTCCCAGCAAAACAATGTGGGATTGCACATTTACGATAGGCTATCATGAGGACGATAGGAGCTCCCTCCAAGCTCCAAGGCCACCCCTTTTTGGCCACACTTCATAGGGCTTCTGTTCACCTTCCTTCTCCAGCTTTTTATGGAACCACTTCAGATGCCTTTTCAGAATGACTGCACTGATCACCCTCATTTTTGCACATTGAGAGGGGAGCAAATTCATTTTTTCCCTCTCTTGACTCTGCTCTTCCCTACAGTGCCACTGCTCCAACTCACTGACAGAGCAGTGCTGTTGTGGAAAAAGCTTCTAATTTGATAGTTGATGATCTCAACTTACTGCAAGCACCATGAAATTCAGCATTTGAGTAAATAATGTTTACAACCATGCCAGCTGATTGCTATCCTATACATGTTTACCTGGAACTAAGTTTCACTGACCGCTTCTGAGTAAATATGCATAAAACTACATTATAGTAATGCGACTTTGCAGTGGCATCCATAAATTCTGCCATGCATTGAGGGAGTAGCAATACTGATGCATCACAAGAAAAAGCAGTTTTTTATGTCCTAGTATTACTTGACAAATGATCCCTTGGAATGGATTACATGTTATTCAAAAGTAGATCCCATTATATTTAAAGAATCTTAGCCCCAGGTATGAGTGGACAGACTTGCAGCCTTAATCCGTTTCTTCTACAGTCTACAATCCAGGTAAGAATTTAGACCATTGCACTCATGGAGTTATGTGTAGTCTGCATAATTAAATTGTAAACTTCCAAGGGAGTATTTTAAATGCTACGGGGAGGTATATAAGCAACCTGCTTTGCTTTGTTTTTTAAATTCTATTTTTAAAATGCTTTATAAACTCTATTACAGAGTTATCTGTGTTTACACACACTTGACATTTGATCTTTTGGCTGAAACATTATCTAATGGAATTTAATTTGTTCTTATGTGTATTCGCGAAGGCTTTCACGGCCAGGATCTAATGGTTGTTG